AGTACTCTGATGGAGTCCCTGCCCATCGCTGGGACTGTTTGATGAGTCTCCCCTGTGTCCCCCACCCTGGTTTCTTCAGTGAGCCTTCAGTGTGAGCCTACTCTTGACCGCCAGGTGGTGCCCTTGCCCTACTTTACCAGTGCCATGGGCGCCTTCTCTGCCTGGCCTGGGGCCACCACCAGCCCCAGCCTTGTGGTTAGAAGAGGCAAGATGCAGCTCCGACTGGGGCTCCACTACAGGTCAGAGTTGACCCAGGCGCTGCCTCTCCATGTACCTAGTGGTGCCCTGGGACTCAGGTCCATGGGACCGAAGGCAAGTGGAACCCTTTGTGACCTGTGCTTGGATCAGCTGCAAGGTAGTGGTGTGCTTTTTTGTTTTGTTTTGTTTTGTTTTGTTTTCGTTTTCAAACAAGGTCTCGCTCTGTCACCTGTCACCCAGGCTGGAGTGCAGTGATGCGATCTGGACTCACTGCACCCTCTGCCTCCCAAGTTCAAGTGATTCTCCTGCCTCAGCCTCCCGAGTAGCTGGGACTACAGGCATGCACCACCACACCTCATTAATTTTTGTATTTTTAGTAGAGACAGGGTTTCACCATGTTGGCCAGGCTGGTCTTGAACTCCTGGCCTCAGGTGATTCACCTGCCTCTGCCTCCCAAAGCACTGGGATTACAGGCATAAGCCACCACGCCGGGCCAATGGCTGAAAGGTTTTGATGTGTAAAAGTACAGAAAGCTGCTAGCACAGAACCTGTGTGACAGCCATGCTCACTGGAGGGCAATTGATGCTGTCACCAGCCTCTGCGTGTCTGCTGTGTGCTGGGCACTGCATTCACTCATGTAACCACCACCAACCCCTGAGTGCCTGAGGCTCAGAGAGTTAAATGACCTGCCATAGGTCCCACAGCAAGAAATGGCATGACCAGTGCTGAAACTAAGGCTATCAGGACAAGCTCAGGCCCAGACAAGTTCCCCCTGGGACACTGTAGGCAGCTACCCCCCGGGGAGTTTCCCCAGCTCTGTTCCCCATGAGCTGTTCACAGAGCCCAGCTGGGGCTATGGATAGGTCACCACACAGGGGAGTGGTGTGGGAGACAGAGAAGCCCATCCACCAGCCCGGGAGCCCCCTCCGTCCTGCCTGTTCCTCCCACCTTGTCTGCATGTCTCACAAGCTCACTAGCCAGTTTTATGAAAAGTAGTTTGGGGGCCACTAAATGAGTCCCCTCAGTGCAATTGAGAGCCAAAGCGATGCCCCTGTTCCCAACCCCAGGCCCACTGGCATGCCCAGCTTGCACCCTTGCACCCTCCCAGACTCCTGCCCTCAAGGAGACCCTGGGACACTCTCCTGTCCTGAAGGCTCCTCCCTGCACCCCTCAAGGCCTCCATGTGCTTGGGCTGGAGGCTGCCTGCTCCTCCCCGAAGGCCTGGATGGGAGGGGCCAGACTGCTGTCTCTCCCCGCAGGCCGCAGCCGTATAGGACACTCAAGGAGTCAGACAGTGCGGAAGGCGATGAGGCAGAGAGTCCAGAACAGCGTGTGCGGAAGCCCGTGGGCCCTGTCCCAGCTCCCCCTGACCGGGCTGCCAGCATTGACCTTCTGGAAGACGTCTTCAGCAACCTGGATATGGAGGCCCCACTGCAGCCACTGGGCCAGGCCAAGAGCTTGGAGGACCTTCGTGCCCCCAAAGACCTGAGTGAGCAGCCAGGGACCTTTGACTATCAGGTATGGCATGGGCAAGAGAGGGGGATGGCACTGTCTATACTCGAGGTGGGACCCCCATGTGACAGTGGAAAAGACTAACAGAGAAACAGTGACTTTCCAAGGCCGTCGGCCAACGCTCAGGGTCAGTCTGACTGCAAAGCCCTCCCCGGGTGCCGGGGCCCACACCACCCTAGCAGTGATGGTAGGAGAAGACGCTGGAGCCAGATGGAAACCTGCCCCACTCTGTGCAGCATACAGGGGGTAGGTGCTGCCAGCCACCCTCCCCGCAGCCCTGCTGGAACTAGGACTAGGTCCATCCCTGCCACAGCTCCTTGGCACAGCCTTTGGATCAAAGTTCTTGGTTCTGCATTACGAATGCAAGTCAGTGTGCCAGTTCCAGCATGACTTCCAATCCGTCACATCCCCTCTCCATGCCTCAGGTTTCTCAGTTGCAAGTGGGGGCTCTCAACTTTGCATCACTGGGTCACACTGTGGGGTTCACAGAGCTCCAGTCACTCATGAGTGTTGCCTGCTGGGAACGAGGACCCTGGGCCAAGAGAAGGGGAGTGGCGCCCAGGCCGTGCAGCTTGGAAGTGGCAGAGCCAGGACTCAAACGCAGCCTCCTCCTTTCTCCCCAGCCAGGGTGCCTTCTACCAGGCCCTGAGTCTCACTTGCCCTCCCAAGCTTACCGGTGGTCACAGGTGCCTGTGATCTGAAAAGTGAAAAGAGCCAGCCAGTAGCTGGAGTCCCTTTCCTAAAACCCCTTGGCAACCACCACTGGCGTAAAGGGATGAGAGCTTCCTCTTGAGTTCCTTTGTGCCACACAGTGAGGAGCCTGGGCTTGGAGTTCCAGCACACCTGGGTTCCCTGCTGGTGACATGTGGGAGTGCCCCCAGCTGCTCCAAGTCTGAGGAGCTAACGGGTCACACGTCTTGGCCCAGCACACAGGAAGGGTATAGGAATGGGCACACAAATGTCCCAACTCAGCCTGTGGTCACTGCCCACTTCCTTCCCTCCCAACAGAGGCTGGACCTGGGCGGGAGCGAGAGGAGCCGTGGGATGGCGGTGGCCTTGAAGCTTGCCCACCCGTACAACAAGCTCTGGAGCCTGGGCCAGGACGACATGGCCATCCCCAGCAAGCCCCCAGCTGCCTCACCTGAGAAGCCCTTGGCTCTACTCGGGAACTCCCTGGCCCTGCCTCGAAGGCCCCAGAACCAGGACAGCATCCTGAACCCCAGTGACAAGGAGGAGGTGCCCACCCCTACTCTGGGCAGCATCACTATTCCCCGGCCCCAAGGCAGGAAGACCCCAGAGCTGGGTATTGTGCCTCCACCACCTGTTGCCCGCCCAGCCAAGCTCCAGGCTGCTGGCACCGAACTTGGTGACTTCTCAGAACAGCTGCATACGGATCGGGACAGGCGAGCTGCCCTGAGCCCTGCCATGTTCCCAGGGCTCCTCCCTCGTGTTGTCCCCCAAGGCCCCACTGAACTGCTCCAGCCGCTCAGCCCCGGCCCCGGAGCTGCAGGCACTAGCAGTGACGCGCTGCTTGCCCTCCTGGACCCACTGAGCACAGCCTGGTCAGGCAGCACCCTCCCGCCACGCCATACTGCCCCGAATGTAGCCACCCCATTCACCGCCCAATTCACCTTCCCCCCTGCGGGGACACCCAATCCATTCCCACAGCCACCACTCAACCCCTTTGTCCCATCCATGCCAGCGGCCCCACCCACCCTGCCCCTGGTCTCCACACCAGCCGGGCCTTTCGGGGCCCCTCCGGCTTCCCTGGGGCCGGCTTTTGCATCTGGCCTCCTGCTGTCCAGTGCTGGCTTCTGTGCCCCTCACAGGTCTCAGCCCAACCTCTCCGCCCTCTCCATGCCCAACCTCTTTGGCCAGATGCCCATGGGCACGCACACCAGCCCCCTACAGCCGCTGGGCCCTCCAGCAGTCCCCCCATCAAGGATTCGAACGTTGCCCCTGGCCCGCTCAAGTGCCAGGGCTGCTGAGGCCAAGCAGGGGCTGGCCCTGAGGCCTGGAGACCCCCCACTTCTGCCTCCCAGGCCTCCCCAAGGTCTGGAGCCAGCATTGCGGCCCTCTGCTCCTCAGCAGGCCAGAGACCCCTTTGAGGATCTGTTACTGAAAACCAAGCAAGACGTGAGCCCGAGTCCAGCCCCAGCCCCAGCCCCAGGCTCGGTGGAGCAGCTCAGGAAGCAGTGGGAGACCTTCGAGTGAGCCAGGCCCTGAGGTGGGGATGTGCCGAGGCCCGAACGTCCGTCCACAGCTGCACTTCTGAGGCTTCCCCACCACTCTCTGCCCAGGTTCTGCTGATGGGAAGAGATGGGACCCCTCTCTGCTGCCCCCTTCTCCCCTCCACACTGCCCAACTCTGAGGTCTGGCCCTGGGGAATGGCACCAGCTCCAGCCTGGGCATCCACCCAGTTCCTGGGTGCCCATCCCACCCCACGGTTGCCCCTCCTCGGCACCCTTGATTGGGTTTTGCACTAAAGAGGTCAGCTGGGCCAGTCATTGCCCCAGACCAAGTCCTACCCACCTTCCCTCTGGAAGTGTCCCGAGAGGCTCCGAAGACCAGCTCTCCTGTCCCCACCACAGCCAGGCCCTGCACGCCCACCTCCTCGGACACAGGTGGCAGGGTTACGCTCCAGTGTGAGCTCATCTGCACGAGATACAGGCGACTGCAGGGTTGGAGGTAGGACTCCCCCCGAGCTGGAGGGTTTACTGGTGGGGCACTTCCAGACTGTTCTAGCAATATATACACTTGTGCTTTCCTGTGTCTTCACCCCAAAACTTGTTGATTCTGACCTGGTAGGATCTGGGGACCAGGAAGTCTTGGGCTGCCTTGTGATGGCCAAACCCAGCCCCAGCCACCCTGCATGGTGGCTGCGAGCACCAGCAACTTGGATTTGTAGAAGGAAACCAAGAACCCTAGTGTTTAAGGAGCCCCAGCCCTTGTCCAGCTCTCTGGTACTCTGGTACCTCCAGGTTCTCCTGGTCTCTATCACTGTCAAAGCTGGGGGCTCGGCCTCTTGTCATCTGGGGCTTTGTGGGCAAAGCTGGGTAGCTGTGACCCAGATTTCAACTCGAAGGTCAAGCTCAATGCCTCAGACTGAGGTGGAAGGCACAGCTGCCTCGCCTTCCTAGGTTGGAACTGGGCAGTGGCCATAAGCCCCTTCACCAGGGAGAAAGGACACACTTGGCCTCTGCCTCCTGGAAACAGGAGGAGGGCTGGAAGCCAGCCCCTCCCCACCTGAGCAGAGCTCTAGGCCAGCGCAGAAATTCCTGAGGCCAACGTCACCAAAGTCAGATTGAATGTTTTATTATTTTTCCTTTTTACCTTATTGATTTGATGAATCATGAAATTGATTCATTTCCATAAACCAAGTTAAAGTACGGCCCGACTATGTAAGAAAACAACCATCTGAGACATGCAGGAAATTGTGAGCATTTCCACCCAAGCTCTCATTTCCTATTTTTGAAGGGTCAGACAGTCTCCCCAGGGGTGTCTGAGGGGTCTCTGGAGGTCTCTGTCACCCAGGGACCCCCTCTGTGAGAGGCCACCACTGCTGCACATGGTCGGTGAGGCTTGGCGGCCATCCTGGGTCACCTACAACCTGTCTGGCGCAGGGGTGGGCTCTGGCTGCTGGGGAAGCCATGTCACTCCTGGGCCATGGCAGCACCTCCCAGGCACTTGGGTACTTCAGCACAGATTCCAGTTTCACTCCCTGGGCAGACTCCCTAGGCCTCATCCGGGACAGGACAGAGGAGGAGGAGGAGGAGAGGTGCTGGTGGCCCCCGGGAAGGAGGGTGGAGCCTGAGGGTGAGTGCCCCACGTTCACACGAGCACTACTCTCTTCACTTGTGGGACTGACTTTGCAAACCCAAGGATGAACTTTGTGTGCGCATTCAATAAAATCATCTTGGGGAAAGGCTGGCATCCCCGTGTCCTTCAAGCTCTTGGGGAGGGAAGGCTCCACAAGGGCCCTGAGCCATGTTTGCCACCCACTCCCGTAGAGGCCGGGGGCAGGCGCAGAGCAGTTAGTTAGGGAAGGAGCCAACTCCCGGTGCCCACTTGGGGCTCCAAGCCAGCTCATGCCCTGCCCCTCACAGACCAGGCATGGGGTTGGGCTGGCAACAGGCCTGCTCAGCCCTGCTGGGGCCACGGAACAGGCTGCAGGCCTGCAACGGTGTTGAGCGCACCCAGGAGCCAGGAAAGACTTCTAGGGGACACCTGGCCAGTTGCCCCACAGGTCTCATTAGCAAGAGAACAGCCTGGGAATGTGCCTCTGTTGAATGCTGGTGTGTGGAGGGGGATGTGGAGCAGTCGACCCCCCCCCCCAGTGAGGCTGGATACACCCAGTCTCACACCTCCCCCACTTGCCCATCATCTGACCATGCTCCTCTTCACAGAACTGCCCTCGAAAACGACAGGCACCCGAACCCAAAGGAGCTAGGAAGGGGACAGGGGGCAGCTGGCTTTCATCTGCATGGTGGACCACCACATTACATATCCTAGGAGTTGCAGCTGACACAGGTTTTCCAAATCCCTGACTCAATAACTGACCCAGGAACTAGCTGAGGCCACGGAACCGGATGCTTCCTCCCCAGGTTCCCAAGGGTAATAGAGAAAGTTCAGGGAAAGGCAGTCCCACCTCCTACAGGGATAAGGACCAGGCAAACCCCTCTCCATCCCAGCCTCTGCTGACTCCCCAGTCCCATGTCCCAGTGCCCCCAAGTGGTCACGTGGCTCCACCTTGGCCATCCATGCCTCTGGGACCAGCTGAAACTGAAAGGAAAAGCTGACTGTTGACCCAAAAGTGTAAACGGATCTCCTGCCTGGGAAGCAGGAAGGACGAAAGGGCACATCTCCAGGTCCACGAGGCTGGAAGGCGCCAGGCCCTCAGGCAGGTGCCCTTCTGGGATCAGAGGTCACGATGTGATGGGCATTGCCAGGGAAGGGGCTGGGAGCAAGCAGCAGAGTCTCCCCTGGGTCTGCCTCTGACACAGAGGCAGCGCCAGTGTTTGCTGAGCTCCTCTACTCGGCAGGCAATCCAGGGTTTCCTTTGAGTCCTCTCACAGAATCTGTGTAGAGGCAGTCAGTCATCACAGGAAGGAATGAGCTCACCAGGCCACTAGGGAGGACCAGGGCTGGAGAGCCAGAGGTAGGCGGGTGAGCCGGCGGGGGGCTTGCTTGGTGAAGAAACGTTGCTCTGTCATTCTTAAGCCCTGGCTCCAGCCTTCTTGCCAAACCCCAAGTAGGCCCCATATCCACTCTTTCCCGCAACTCTGGCCAGGGAGATGACACTTCAGACACCTAAACAGACACCCGGAGGTCCTTCCCATCAGACGGGAGGGACAACGTCCATTCTTTCCCCATTGCCATCGTCTCTGATCCTCACAACAGCCCTGTGAGGTAGGCAGGGGGTGGCTTCTTCCCCATGTCACAAATGACCACAGCAGGGTGGGAAGCTCAGGGCAGCCCCTCCTCTGCTCCCTCGTGCTGCCCTGGCCATGGGGGCGGGTGGGTCTGTGCTTCCCTTGCATGACTGGCTCTGGCTCTAGCAGACACACCTGCCTGAGGGGATATTTGTTCTAGGAGCCAGAAGCCCAATCGGCCTCTGCTTATGGCCTCCCTGACCTTCCAGCTGCCTCCACGGCAGGAGCAGCTCCCAGAGGCGGGGGAAGAGGCGGGAGCCCTGGCCTGCCTTCCTAGAGAACCTGCAGCTTTAGCTGCCCCTGCCCCGGGGCTGGAATGGCTGTCCCCATGCTGCAGCCGCCTCTACCTGGGACCAGCTACGCCCATCACACAGTCATGGACACACAGCAAAAGCAGCAGACATGACCTGGAGCCGTCAGGATGCACACTAGCATCTGCAGACAAACATGCCCAGGTACACACTCCTCCAGACACACACACACACTCCTCCAGATACACGCACACACTCCTGAACACACTCCTCCAGATACACTCCTCCAGATACACACTCCTCCAGACACACACACACTCCTCCGGATACACTCCTGAACACACTGTGCACTCACGTGTGCCCTCCCACACAGCCGTACACCTGCCGAGGCGGCACCCCGTGGGTGGGAGGGAGGAGTCCACGGCCTCTCTAGGCTTCTGCTTCCCTGAGTTGCTCCACTTGTCCTCCATCCACGACGGGGCAGAGGCGGAGGCTCCATAGCAATGTCCCGAGCCCTGGAAGCAGCTTCCTTGGGTCTCCTGGTAGAAACCATCCAGGATCTCCAGGTGCTGGCACCGGCCGCCAGGCTGGCCTAGATGAGCCTCTCCTCTGGTGGCACCTTGAGGACACTGTCCATCTCCAGCCGGGCCCCGGCCACCTCCTGCTGGCTTGGGCTATAGGTGCCCTCGGACTGGCGGCGCTTTCGGGCTGCAAGGATCCCTGAAAGGAGGCCCAGGAGGAGGAGGAGGAGGCAGGCACAGGCTGCAGGCACAGCCACCTCCAGCAGTGGGAATGGCAGTGGCAGGGGCAGGCCTTTCTGCAAAAGACACAACATCGAAGCCTAAGTCACAGAGAAGGGGAGGCCCCAGGGCTACAGAGCAGAAAGGGCACCAAAAGGATTGTTCAGAGAAAATCAGAGCAAGGAGCAGGCTGCCCTGGGAGGGGTGAGACCCCCAGCCCCGGGAGTATGCAGGCAAGTGCCAGAAACCACCTGTCAGAGCCACTGCTTCGGGGAGTCCTGTACAACAAAGGAGTTCTGGCTAGAAGGACAGAGACAGACATTTACTGAACACCCAGCAGGAGCTAAGCATGGTGCGTGGGTTTCACAGAAGCCTGCAAAGGTCTGACAAACAGGAGCAGGGGTGGGCTGAGCGGCCCCCCTGCCACAATAACAAGGTCAGAATCCGGGCTGGCCTGCTGCTTCGGGGTGGCAGGGGGATGGGGGGGCTGCTCTGACAGCTTGTCCCTGCGAGCCTCAACCCAAGCTTGGGGAGAGGGGGCAGCAAACCTCCTTGCTGTCTCCAGTCACAGGCTCCCAGGACACCCCATCAAAACCTCTACATGCCTGGGACTCTGAAGTCCCAGGATCTAAGGATTCCAGAAGCACGGGAGGCACATGGGGTCTCAGACTCACCAGCCTCCCTCTGTACCTCCAGGCCTCTCCTGCTGTGACCTGGGTTCCAAAACTAGAGAGGAAAGTTCCTCTTGGTCCTGAGTGGGTCCTGCCAGCCTCCACCCCTGGGCATTTTGGGGGAGGAGCTGTAAAGCCATTTCCTCCCCCTGCCCTGGAAGGTAGCTGGGTGGGGAAGCCAGAGACTGTAAAAGTTCAACTTGAAAGGAAACATTCCCAGTAAGTGGAGGGGATTTGTGTTTTATGACCCAGGCTGCCAGAAGCCTGTGGAGATCAAGGCTGCTCCCCAGGCTTCCCTTCCAAGCCCAGGAAGGGGTGTGGTGGGGAGGTTCACAGCCTGCCGCCTTGGTCTGTCAAGGCCCCTCCTGGGCTGAGCCCCTGGAGTCGGGGGCAGCCTGCACAGCAGCCAAGCCTACTCTGGAGTAGACTCCCAGGCCCCTCCGTGCCTTCCTACTCAGGACACTGGCTCAGAAACCCCCGGAGATGAGAGTCTCCTGGATTCACCAACCTAAGTCCCAGAACGCCTACATCCTCTGGGCCCTTAATCCTGGTTGGATCGGCAGAGACCATCTGTCCTCACTGCCACTGCCCTGGGCACTCTGGGGAAGCCCCTGACCCGGCCAGGAGCTCTGTGCTCTCACCAACCGATAGTGGCAGCCCCCAAAGCTCTCCCTGGAGTGGAAATACCTCCTGTGTGGGGAGTGTGGAAGGGATCCGAGGCTCCTGTCACTGCCCCCTCCATAACAGTGGCCCAGGAATAGTCCCACGGTGCTACAGTGTCCCCGCTCCCCACAGCATCTTGACAAGGGCCCAGCGGGTCACTTCCATGGCCCGTCACCCCTGGCATCACTCACCACCACTTCACAGAACTGGCCGGAGAACCTGGCGCTGCAGATACATTCAGATGCCCCTCCAGCTGCTCGGCAGGTGCCCCCATTCAAGCAGGGGTTGGCTTCACAGGGAAGGGTGGGGACCCAACACCTGGAGAGGGAAGGGGGCTGAGAAAGCGGCTCCCCCCATGGCTGCCTCTTGTGCTCCCAGTTGCTCTGCTGCCCACCCCACCCTCAGCAAGCGTCAGCGCTTATCCATCCACTGTCCCCACATGCTACTCCGGCCCAGCTGGGCCCTGCCAGGTGGCCACATGAGCAGCCGTGACTGAGAGGAACTCACACCCCATCGGGGTGCTGGGGAAGCCTGTGTGAAAGCAGGTACCCAGGAGCTGATGCCACTGTGTGCAGGACCCAGAACCTGCACTTTTACAGTGTCCCACAGGCGGGCTGAGGCTGTGCGACACAGAACCGCCACCAGATCACCACTGCCCAGCAGCGGTCTATCATAAAGGATGCTCTTGGAAGACATGGAAGGAAACTCAAGTGACAGTGGTGACTGTGATACCCAGAGAAGGATGAGGGGGTAGGCGAGGATCCCTGCCCCGCCCTGACTGGTGGAACAGCCCTCCACACCCATTGGACCACCTCATAGTTCCCAGGCCCCCAGACCCACCTCTGGTCAGCAAGACCCTCCAGGCAGCTGCAGTTGGCAGCAGGAGACCCACCCTCACACTGGCTGCTGTTGAGGCAGGTGACGTTCAGGCTGCACTCCTTGGGTGGGACAGGCAACCTGGAGAGGGAGTAAGAGGCTGGCGTGGGGTGCAGGAGGCCTGGGACCTGCCCTCCCAGCTGCTGCGATCATGAGCCACCTGAGTCTGTGTTCTCAGGCATGGAATTCAGGGCCCTCCTCTATCAGTCATGGGATTGGGGTCCCTGGTGGGAGGGAAGGGACACAAGGCTGTCACTCACTTTCCAGAGACTCAGAGGACTCTGAGGACAAAATTCAAGGACTCTGAACAAAAGCAGCTCCTAAACACAACACCTGGACATTCTTGAGGGGAGAGGGAGGGGTCTGGCCAGCCAGATCCCCTTTCACACGCTGAGCTCCCCAGAGAGCCACCATGAGGTGAATAAGGGAAGCACCAAAGTCTGACAGGCTCCTTCCAGCCTGACCCACTCCCCACGAGCCTGGCCCCCTCCCTCCAGTCTGGCCCCTCCCCTCCAGCATGGCCCCACCCCTCCAGTCTGACCCCCTCCCCCCCAGCCTGCCACCCCACCCTCCAACACGGCCCCCCACCCTCCTGCCTGACCCCTCCCTCCAGCACGGCCCCTGCCTCCAGCCTGACTCCCCTTCCCTGTTCCCTAACCCGAGACCAACAGGAATGAACCTCCGTGTAAGGCAGGCAGCTCCCAGCCCCAGACCACAGTGCTGTTTATCTGAAATTCCAAGCTAACTGGGTGTGTTTTGATCTGTGTTTTATAGGGAAATTTATGAAATCAAACCATCTTCCTCATGTCACAGATAAGGGCATGAGGATCAGGGAAGGGAAGTGACTCTTCCACAGACCTGGCGACTTCTCTTCCCCTCCACAGCCTCAGGGGGAGTTCCCAGCCCACCCCAGCCCTGGTCACCGGCGGGGCCCGCCCTCCTGCCCCCGCCGTCCCACCTGCAGCGAGGGCCCCCGAAGCCTGGCGGGCAGCGGCACTCAAAACGGCCGTCAGAGTGCGTGTGACAGCGGCCGCGGGCGCAGGGCGCAGAGTGACAGGGGTCGACATGGGCCTCGCAGCGTGGGCCCTCCCAGCCCGGGCCGCAGGCGCAGGCGAAGGCGTCGAAGAGGTCGCGGCAGGCGCCGCCGTGCAGGCAGGGCGAGGGCGCACACACCGGCGCGCCACGGCAGCCAGGGATCGGGGCCGGCGCCCCAGGCCAGGCCATGAAGTGCTCTCGGGCACCGGGGGCTGCGCCTGGCCGGGGCCGCGCCAAGGGCAAGGGGAAGCCACCCAGCGCCACGCGGCCCAGGCAGCCGGTGAAGTTCTCAGCCAGCAGGACACGCGCGGCACCTGGACCCTGCAAGAAGCCCAGGTCGCCGGCCAGGCCGCGCAGTGCTACCGGCGTGACCGCGCCGTCCAGCCACAGCAGCCAGCGCGAGGCAGCGGCCGCCGGGCGCTCCATGGCCAGCTGCACACGGTGCCAAGCGCCGTCGGCCACGCGCAGCCCAGGCATGGGCAGCACAGCGCCTGGCAGGCTGCGGCCTCCACGGACGCCGCCCACCAGCGAGCCGTTGCGCACTGCCAACCACAATCCAGCCGTGTTGCCCGCTGCGGCGCGCAGCAGCCAGGCTTCGGGGTCGCGCGTGCGGAAGGCCAGCGACAGGCTGCCAAGCGAACGCCCCGACGACACGTTGTGCCCGCTGAACGTGGCGGGGGGACCCTCCCGGAACGTGATCTGGGCCACACCTGCGGAGAAAGGGAGCCTCAGGGAATCGCCCACGGAACCTTCTCCACAAACGCTACCTCCCCACTTCCCCCAGCGATTGACAGACGAGCCACTTACTGGGGGCCCATCATGGGGGTCGGGGCACACGCACCCACCTATCATGTAATCCTGGATCCTGGAAACTGCAGCCGCCCCCGCCACCCTCACTTCTACCCCAAATGTATTTCCTACCCCCGGAGGGGCAATTCCAGGGAGGTCGCGATGCTCAGGCGACCCTCCAGGCCACAGGCCCAGCAACAGCAACTCCCGGCAGAATCTGGCCCCTTCCCTCCTCCGTGAAGCTGCCCCACCTCACGACGGAGGCTCGCCCTTCACTGCAGCCAAGTCATCTTTGTAAAATGCAGATCTGGTCATGCCCCTCTCCTGAAAACCCTGGGAGGCTCCCCGCTGCCCTTGGGGATAAAGTCAGAGCTGCCTCACTCGGCGTCTACAAAGCCTCTGTCAACTTTCCCACCCCCGTTCCTGCTCACCCCCTTGCACTTCTGCTGTTCTTGCTGATCTCAGGGACTTTGCACATGCTGTGCCCCCTCAGTGAAACGTCCTTCCTGCCCATGGCTCTCAGAGTCTGGCCTTGAAGCCCAGCACTGGCTTGCCTCCTGCAGGTACTCTGTCCCTCTGCATTCTGGGGACCCTGTCACACTGCCCTGGGGCTTGGCATGTCTGGTCCACTAATATCTGACAAGCCCTGAGCGTGCAGATGGCATCTAACCAGCTTGGGTGTCCACCGCCCAGCACGGGAGCAGCCCAGGACACACACTCACACACAAAGCCATCGGGGACCTCCTCACACGTGGCAGGTGGGAGACAGGGCTGGCCGGGACACCACAGCTGCTGGGCACACGTGGGCCCTGTGAAGTTGGCAGGGCAGGTACAGTAGAAGTCATTCCAGGTGACAAGGCAAGTCCCACCATTGAAACAGGGGTCAGGCTGTGGGAGAGGCAGGGTGGGAGGTGGCTCAGGACTGCGGCTGGCATCACCCACCATAGCCAGCCTCGCAGTGCTTCTCCACTGAGCACCTACTACAGACGTGGTATCTCCTCACAAACGAGTGGAGAGAAAGTCACTAGCATCCCCATTTTATAGATGAGAAAGCTGAGGCTCAGTGAGGCAAAGCCACTTGCCTGAGTCACCCAGCCAGTAAAGAGAGGAACCACAGTTCCTGCCCATGCTGTTCCAACCCCAGGGCTGGTGGAATTCTGTTCCTGATCAAATGGAACCGAATTGGCCCCGTCCCCGCAAGTACACTCTTGCAGAAAGGCTCAGGCAGCCCTCGATCTCGGTCAGGGTGTCTCTCTCAGACCAGGACTGACTGAAGGAGGCATGGGGACCACCAGAGGGTAGGAGCAGCTGGGCTGGAGAGGGGGTGAATGCAAATCCTGCCCTGCCACCCTCCTGTAGTGGGACCCTGTGCAGGTCACTTCACCTCTTAAGCCTCAGTTTCCTCATCAGCAAAGAAGCACCCCTGGTGACGCAGAACAGATCCTGGGAAAAGGGCCCGCCCCTAGACGCTTACACTGCATGTGTCCTCAGAGACGCAGCCCGCAGTGAGGTTCCAGGACTGCCTGCCACCGAGCTCACTGGGCTGGCTGACGTTGTCCAGTGGCAGAGGAAGGAAGGGGAGGCGGTGGCCATCGAGTTGCAGGTCCTGGAGGCAGCCTCGGAAGGGCCCACCCCAGGGTTGGCTGTCGGCAGCGAGGAGCCTCCCACCCACATGCACCTGCTGCCCCAGGTCCTGCAGCTGGTCAGGCCCGAAGCTGAGCGTCACCAGGTGGCGGAGCCCATCATCCCAGCGCCCAGGAAGCACTATGGCAGGACTGCCTGGCACCTCGGCCCGGATCCGACCCTCGCTCAGGAATACTGTCAGGCCAGCTGTGGAGTCATTGGCAAACTGGAGCAACAGGCCAGCAGGCTCCCGGGTGCGGAGAAGGAAAGACACTGTGAGGTTGGGGCCTGGCAGCTCTTGAAGCAGAAAGGAGGCAGAGCTCGGGGTGCCTCCCAAGCCAAAGGTGGCGGCGGGAATCTCTACAGGGAGAGAAGGTGCCGGTGTGAGGCCTGCAGGCTGAGGGAGCCAGATTTTGGGTGCTGCCTTCCCAACCTGGCTCACTCCTCACCATCACCACATGTGGGACCCCTATAGGGCCGTGGACAGTCGCAACGGAAATGAGTCCACAGATCCACGCAGGCCCCTCCGTGGACACAAGGCAAAGGCTGGCACTGCTCTCGGCGCTTGCAGCCCAGGAGGACGTTCTCGCCAAGATCCTCAGGCAGCAGGAGGTGCCCATCCACATGCACATCCTGGAGGCAGCCTGCAAATGCCACGTCCCCCAGCCGGGCAGAGGAGATCCTGGCAGGCAGCGGGGTTGCCGAAGCCGTGGGAGCCAGGGCCACAGGACCAGAGGCCACACAGAGCCGAGCAGGGCAGCCCTCATGCCAGAGTCGCAGCTCCAGGGTCCCTGGGCGGAGCGCCACCTCCACCTGGTGCCAATGCCCATCGTTTAAGGCCAGGTCCGGCAGTCTCAGGACAAGCACATTGGTGCCATGGCTCCAGAGTGTGGCCTGAAGTGTGGCTGCCACCAATGCCAACTCCAAGCTTTCCTTGGTGTCATTGCGAGTAGCCAAGATACCAGCGGGCAGTGTGGTGCGAAACCTCAGTGCCAGACCCAAGGGGCCACCAGCTGGCACGGATGCCCGAATGAGGCTCCCAGCCATCACAGAGAAGGTGGTATTCTGGCCACAGAAAGGTCCATGGGTACCAGGTGGGCAGTTGCAGACATAACTGTGGACCCCAGACTCAAAGATAGGGATGCAGGTGGCAGCCAGTGGGCAGGTGTGGTCCTGGCAGCCAGTGAGCTGCACAGAACAGTCGCGCCCACCCCAGGTCTCTGGGCACCAGCAGATATAGCCTGCCACAGTGTCACTGCAGGTTCCGCCGTGGAGGCAGGGATCCGACAGGCATTCATCCACATCTTCCTGACATGTTGGCCCTTCGGGGGAGACCAAGCCAAGGTTCAGCAATGTCTGGGGCCAGAACCACAGTATTGACCCAGAACTTACATACCTCTTATGATAGGGACCTCAGTACCTATCAACCAAACCAATTCCCAAAGGATTTCTCACAGTCCCCTGAGGTTCTCCGTAGGCCAGAATCCAAGATGCCCCTTCCTATGTCTGGTGAGTCCCCAGGTCCTGTGGATTTAATCTCCTAAACATCCTCCAATGCCCCCTTTCTCCGCCCCTCCCCTCATCTCCAGCCTTACCAGCTCTCTGGGCTACCGTCCCATCCCGTCTCCTCCAGTCTGTCACCCTTCAGAAGCCCTCTCCCATCCATCTCCACCAGTAGCCAGAGGTCTCTTTCTAAAGCATCGCCTGGCTAGGTTCCTCTACTGCTTAAGGCCCCATCACATACCCTGACATTTAAGACCCCAAAATGGGCTGCGTTCTACCAGGCTCTCAAGCCTCAATCCTGCTTCCCAAGACCTTGAACTTCCCCTTCCTCCAAGCATTTCCTGGAAAGTCCTGCCTCTGGGGCTTTGTTCATACTGTTCTGTCTCCTTGGAATGCTTCACTCTCCCTTACCCTTCCTTTCAGACTCCTATTCATCCTGCAAAGCCCAAACTCAAAGGGCCCAGAGGCTTCCCCTAACTCCCAACCTCAAACTATAGTATCACTCTCCACTCTCAGACACAACTCCCCAGAACCCCGTATTAAAACTATCTGTTTACTCAGCTGAGATCTCCTTCAGTGACCTGAATATGTCCTTGGTGTCCAGCAAAGGGCATGGGATGGCTTTTATGGGCAGAGTGATGAAATGGAGGAGCTGGTGGGGTGGTGCACACACCCGAGGCACTCTGAGCAGCCCCCCACCCCAGGCTCAACCCCTCAGTCCCTCGGCTCCAGGGCCCCCACACTGGCTGTGAAGGGGCTGCCTCATCCTCCCTCCAGGTGCTCAGGCCCCGCCTTGGGTCAAGAAGCCATAGCCCAACTATAGTTCAGCTTGAGCTGCATTCCAGCTGGAGGAACCCAGGCCCAGAGGGGCTACCGGGGTTTGAAGCCCAGCCTGACCAGCTCACAAACACACCTCCTCCTAGGAGTCGCCACCCACCAACCTCTCCATGCCCAGGGCCCCATCCTCCATACCTGCCAGGAGCCACAGATGGCCCAGGAAGATCCACAGAGTCCCCAGCCCTATTGCCATGCCCCCAGACAGGTTGAGAGTGCTGCGAGGGCACTGAGGCTGGGCGTGGGGGCAGAGCTCCCTGCCTGGCCCAGCTGCCTCCTTCAAAGCCGGCTCAGGAATGCCAGGCACTGGCCTCCCCCACGGCCAGCAGGGCCCAAAGGGAGGGAGGATGGGCAAAGAGCCCAGCCCTGCAGCTGGGGTCCCCCCTCCCTGGCTCTGACCTCAGAGGTCTGCCCTCCCAGTCACCCAACAGCTGAGCTCAACTGGGAAGTGAGCCGGGTTCCCACTGACACTGGTGAACCCAGGGGATGACGCCCCCCCCAACCCCCCATGCTCTCAGCTGTAAGATGGAGTTTTAAACCCCTGCCTCATGGGGCTGCGGCAAGGAAGAAATGAAACGCACAGCAAATGCTTCCCAGAGGCCAGGCATGCTATGTGGACCCTCCGTGCACTAGGTACCAAGGAGGCTGTGGTTCTTGGAGCGGGACTTGGAGAACCTCAGCCCATGGGGGCAGCGGATGGGCCTTCAGGACACCCAGGAGTGTCGGCCATTCAGGGATGGGGGACACTGAGTCCCGCCATCTTTAGGTGAGTGAGGGTGGGCAAGATGCATCATCAGCAACTCTTTCCCTTGGTGGAGGAGCCTGTGCCCAGGAGCCTGCCAGGAAAAGGAGGCAGTGTGCCCCAGCAGGAATGTGGGCAGATGTGGAGGAGGTATCACAGGCATTCCAGAGGGGCCAGGGACACTCGGTTGGACAGTCACCAGTGTCCTGTGTCTGTGCATCTGCATGTGCCCACGGCAGGGCCTGACAGGCCCCAGCTTCCCAAAGTCAGGGTCCTCCTCTTATGGATGCTGCCCCCCAACTCTCTGCAGTAGCTCCCCTTTCCTTCTCTGTCCTGGCCAAACCGCCTCATCTTCCCTGAAGGTGTGCAGGGTTCTCTGCCCATCCCCTGCCCCACATTCTCCAGGACAACCTCAGCCCACTGAGGCCCCAGCTGCCAGGACTACACTGCTGATCCCCAGTCTCACCTCCAAAGCGAGTCCCAGTTCAGCCACCTTCAGCAGTCACCTGGGCCCCCACGCCCTCCTCCTCCCTGATCTCCTTGACCTCATCGATCCACACATCAGACAGAAGGGACCTTCTCGCCCAAGAACCACCAATTCTGACAGTCCCAGGGTCCGCCCCACCCCCAGACACCTGCATAGCCATCTGGGCAGTGACACTGGAAGCCGTTGGGCAGGTCCTGGCAGCGGCCTCCATTGAGGCATGGCTGTGAGGCACACTCGTCCACCTCCACGCTGCAGTCAGCTCCTGCAAGAGGCCCAGCTGTGGGTCCCACCTGCACCCTCAGAGCCAGGCAGGGGCTGAGAGGGTCCATTCTATAGTGAGGGAGACTGAGGCCGAGAGAGAGGGCAGAGTCGGGCGTGGGATGGCAGGGGGAACAAGATCCCTCCCGGGGCACCTGAACACGGGCTGACCGCTTCCCCAGCAGGGGCTCACCCTCAAAGCCAGGAGGGCAGAGGCAGAGGAAGCCCGCGGCATGGCGGAAGCTGAATTCGCCAGGGAAGGCGGGCTGGACGCCCCCGTAGAGAGCCGGGTCGGAGCGCTGCAGGCACTGGCCCCCGTGGCGGCAGGGGCTCGCTGCACACTCGTCCTCGTCCACTTCGCATCGCTCACCGCTGTAGCCTGGGGGCACACACACGTGGCATCAGGTCTCACAGGGTCACCGGGCAGCACCTCTTCACTGTCACATGGCTAGCTGGGGCCAGTTAGGGACCACAGCTCGGAATAAGCCACCAAATGCGAGGGAGAGACGCACTGAGGGCGGCAGGGATGACCATGGCAGCCTTCGACAGCAGCGGCCTACTGCTGCTATCACTAGTCTTACTACTGTGACTAGTATTAGTTACTGAGCCCTTCGGAGCTGTTAGGCCCGTGCCAAGGGCTTCCCATGCACTGCACCTTCGCTCTCCCCGCAGCAACCCTAGGAGCGGGCGCCACAATCAGCCCTATTTTGTAGATCAAGAAACTGAGGCTCCGACAGGTTGCAGTCACACACACTCTAGTCCCAAGGGCCCAGCGGGCACTCGCGCATGCGCACAGCCGCACACCTGCGCCACCCCAGGCCGCACATGCGCACGCACACACCTACCCGCTGCCCGAGGCCATGCACGCGCACGCACACACCTTCCCTCCGCCCCAGGCCACGCACGCGCACACCTGCCTCCCCGCCACGCGCACGCACACACCTTTCCTCCACCCCAGGCCACGCATGCGCACGCAAACACCTTCCCCTCCACCCCAGGCCGCACACGCACACACCTTCCCCTCCACCCCAGGCCACGCACGCGCACGCACACACCTTCCCTTCCACCCCAGGCCACGCACGTGCACGCACACACCTTCCCCTCCACCCCAGGCCACGCACGCGCACGCACACACCTTCCCCTCCACCCCAGGCCATGCACGCGCACGCACATGCCTTCTCCTCCACCTCAGGCCACCTACATGTACGCAATACCTACCCCACCGGCCCAGGCCATGCACATGCGCGCGCGCACACACCTTCCCCGCCACCCCAGGCCACGCACACACACACCTGCCTCGCCGCCATGCGCACGCACACACCTGGCCAACAGAGGCAGCGGAAGCTCCCGAGGCCCTCAAGACAGGAAGCGTTGTGCGCGCAGGGCGCCGATGCGCACTCCAGCACCTCCTGCTCGCAGTGCGCGCCCTCGTAGCCGGTGCCTGCGCAGTCGCACTGGAACCTGAGGAGGGCACGCGGCTGGAGCTGAGCGCGCACACGCCCCTTCAGCCCCACGCCCTCCGGCCCTCCCCGCCCTCGGGTACCTGGCGCCCCAGTCCCCTGCCCGGCCGCTCGCTCACCCATTGACCAGGTCGTGGCACGTGCCCCCGTGCGCGCACGGCTGGCTCTGGCACTCATCGAGGTCCAGGTGGCAGCGGGCGCCCCCGTAGCCTGGCGCGCACACACAGCGGAAGGAGCCCACACCGTCCAGACACGAGCCCCCGTGCAGGCAGGGCGCCGAGGCGCACTCGTCCACCTCCGTCTCGCAGGTCACGCCTGGACAGGGCCGGAGACACACAGGGCGTGGGATGGACACCTGGAGCAGGGCGGAATAGGCGGAGCCAGGCCCACTGGGAGAGAGAGACTTGTGGGTTCATTCATTCAGCGCCGGGCGTGGTGGGGGCGGGGTCGCGCTAGCCACCGCAGGGAGAGAAATGAGACCGACAGCCCTGCCCTCAGGGGGCTCACAGCAGTCTAGGCCAGGAGATGGGGGGGATTGGGCCAGTAATTACATATATGAGCTGGGTTTTGAAGTTGCCAAGTTCAACAAGGAAAAGAGTTGGGTCCTGAGAAAGCAATAGCTGGGGTCTGCTCTGTTCAAGGAAGGCTTCCTGGAAGAAGAGGCTTTTGAAGGATTCAGAAAGGGGACTGTGGGCAGCAGCTGACGGCAGGCAGCCGGAGGCAAGTTCTGCTCAGGGAAGGGCTACGATGCCCTAGGGTGGGGTGCTAGGAGGGTGGGAAGCAAGGGAGAGGGTAGAGGCGGCCAGTCGAGTGGGAGGTGTTAGTGCCTTGAGGACTAGGTAACCTCTGGGTCCATCCTGAAAGTTTCAGACAGATGAGTGACTTGGTCCTACCTACATTTTATTTGTTTGTTTTGTTTTCTTGAGACAGAGTCTTGTTCTGTCTCCCCGGCGGGAGTGCAGTGATGCAATCTCCGCCTCGCAGGTTCAAGCAATTCTTGTGCCTCAGCCTCCAGAGCAGCTGGGATTACAGGTGCCCACCACCTCACTCGGCTCTTTTTTTTTTTTTTTTTTTTTTTTTTTTTTTTTTTTTTTTGTAGAGAAGGGGTTTTGCCATGTTGGCCAGGCTGGTCTTTAACTCTTGGCCTCAAGCAATCCACCCGCCTTGGCCTCACAAATTGCTGGGATTACAGGCATGAGCTACCGCACCTGGACCTACCTACATTTTCAAAGGCCCACGCTGATGGCTTTGAGACCCTCGAGAGGCCAGAGATGCTGGAGGAGGTTAATCACTCCTCCTTGTGTCCCTGAACTGTCCTAGTTTTAGAACTGAAAGTACTGAGTCCCGGGAACCACTCAGCAAGTCAAGACCGCTGAGTGGCTCTCCCAGGGTGAGGGTGGAGAGGAAGGGAGCTGGAGTCCCAGCGTTTCAGATACACCACCTGAGATCATCCTGGAGCTCAGGGTCACTGTAGACTCCAGTGGGCCCTGCCCCCTAAGTGGGTTGGGTCAAGGGCAGGCCCAGAGGCCCAGCAGACCAGCTGGAATCCTTCCCCTTCTCAGTTCATTGAGCACAAAACAGGACCCCACCTTCCCATGACTCTTCCCTCCTCCCGCCCCATCCCCACTCCCACCCGCTGTGTCAGGGGGAGTCAGGGCTCGGCTGGAAATCCCAAACTCCCCCACCCAGCTTGGAATGGAAAGAGGAGAGAATGAGTCATGGCAGATGCTGCCCCAACTCACATCCACAACTTACGCAGAAAGAGTTCCCCGAAGTATGCGAGTGCCACACATTGGGTACACAGCCCACTGCTCACACACACACATTCCCCACACCCACACGTTCCTCACGCATGCACTCAGCAGAGGCGCCCCAGGTACCCGCAGATCTTTACGGATGCAAAACAGATCTTCAAACTAGGAAACATGGACGGACGTGGCCCGCACTGGCATGTACGCTAATACACCCAGACCAGACACTGAGACACCAGAACGAGGAGAAGGATGCATGCGACCGGCTTCCCAAATCTCTTCATCAGCTGCCATTTCTTCACTATAGGCCCCTGCCCTGGAACTCAGCCCCCCAATCTGTACCCCTTGCTCTGAAGTGACTTCAAACTGCCCTCTACCCTCAGAGTACAGTTGTCTGAATTCAGGATTGAAGTAGAATCCAGAGTATCTACACTGCAGAGTCTAGACTGCCCTGGACTTAGCTGCACTCCCAGACCTGTCCCCAGCTGCAGCCTCCTTCCCGACTTCAGGCCTCTCTAGGAAGGCGCTCCAGGATGCTCTCGGCTCAGACCATGCCATGGGTAGGCCTGGGATGGGCCATACTCTGGAAAAGGCCCTCAATGCCGCTCACTTTTCTGAGCACTTACATATATATTATCCCACTCCAGACAGCAGTGATCCGTGGGGTGCATCTGCACTACAGTTTGTATGAGACTGTGGGTGTCTCTATGCTAGAACTCTGGGGGAGACTCTCCCCCAAACCAGATGCCAGGGGTCCACATTGCATCCCAGACCACATCAGGAGTGTTCAAATGAGCTGATGGTGCCAGTCATGTGTCTACATGACAGCTTGGCACAGGCCTGCAGTAAATGCTAGAAAGACTATCTGGGCATCCACATTAAAGCCACACCAGGCAAGTCCACACTGCCAGAGATGCCTGAGGGGTACCTCCACCCCCTGAGCCAAGCTGAACTCTAGGCTGAACTGAAATAACATCGAGTGCCTGAGATGTGCCACACACCGTGCCAGCACCCGCACCTATATACTCTCACCCAAAGCTGCCAGGTAAACCCACGAAGCATCAATTCTGTAGTCAGACTGAGTGAATATACCCCAGAGCTGCCAGGATGCCTGGGGGTGTCCCTACATTAAGTCAAAGCTGAAGCCATGATGTTTACACTCTGAGCAGCTGGCGGATCCACATTACAGACCTACTCCCATGGCAGCCCAGGCTGTTACCTGCATAGCCAAGGGGGCAATGGCACTCATAGCGATCGGCCAGGTTGTGGCAGGTGGCCCCGTGGTGGCATGGCCGAGATGCACACTCATCGATGTCCAGCTCACAGCGTGGGCCCTGGAAACCCGGCACGCAGTAGCAGCGGAAGCCATCAGGATCTGGACCCTGGGGCACACACAGAGCGCCATGGTGGCATGGCTGGGTGGCACAGCCCCGGGGCTCTGTGGGCCCACAGGTGTAGCCACCACTTTCGGTAGCCTGGCACTCGGTCCCTGGAGCGCACGGGTCTGAGGCACAGGCACTGGGGGGCTCTGAAGGCACCGTCCCTGTGGAAAGAAGAAACTGGCTGGGCAGGATGGGCAAACGTTACAATGACAATCTCCTCCCCCCCCTCTCAGGCCCAGCCCAGACCCCTAAAGCAACATAGGTGTCTCCATTTGCAGGATGGACAGAGGGCCAGGGGTCTGCAAGCCAGATCCCAGTAAGCTGCACACGTCTATACCCAGAACTGGGAGCAATTTTAGGAGAGTCTACATAGCAGAGAAATAGGACCAGGGATGCCTGGCTGCTGGGCAGGATCAGCAGGCAGAGGCTCCTGACCCCATGAGCGTCCCTCCACTGTCTCATCCCTGCAGTGCCCCTTTGAGAAGGGGTCTGTCATGCCCACTGCACCAGACAGCAGAAGGAGGCCCAGGAAAGAAAGTGAAGGCTTGCTGAGGTCACAGTTGGTGTTCTCTGGGACAGACTTCACGGTCTGTCTGGGTTATTTCAGCTTCACCTGGGAGAGGGTCTCCCCTGGCGTTTGCCTTCTGCAGGCCCCATCCATCCCAGGAGGCCCAAAATGGTGAGGCTCCTCCCACTGCCCCCTCCACCTCTTCTGCCAGGGGTCTTGTAACTCCATCCCTGGGTGAAACTGGAGATGGCCCCAACCTCAACCTCCGGAGGACGGATGGACAACTTCAAAGGCAGGGATCATGTGTTCTGCTGGTCTCATCCCTACCCCTTCTCCACCTCACTACCCACTCCCTGCCAGCCACTGGCCTGGGAACTTCTAGAGGGCCCCCAGCCCTCATTTCATCCCCCATCAGCAAACACCTGAGTGGCCACCCTGGCTGAGGTCACGTGGTACAGAGCAGGTATTGAGGTGGCTCACGGACACCTGCCCCCTCTCCCACACGCTGTGATGCGTCCCGCATGGGAGCTCCCTCTGACAGAGGCTCACCAACTGGCTTGGAAGCCAAGCCCAGAGATCCTCATCCCCCTTCCTCTCCTCCCGCCTTCCTGAGAGCCTTGTCGCTACAGTGCCCGAGTGAGAACTTGGGCTTTGAAGTGAAACGGCCCTGAGTTCAATTCCATCTCAGAAAGTTACTATGTCTGAAAATGGGATAATAGAACCCCCTAATCAAATGCTGAATGATTCAACCCCTCAGGGCTGCAGTCAAGGGCTGCTTTTGGTAGGAATTCCGTAGGGATGGGGGAGGAGAACCTCGAGAAGGTACAGCCCCCGTTTCTCCCCCCACCCCCACCTGGAGCTCTCAGAGGTGTGCCCCTCCCCCACCCAGGTTGTCATCCAGACACTCACCAGATCCCAGAACAGCTCAGGCCCTACACCCTTCCCTCCCCCACCCTGGTGAAGCCCCCCAGATAAGGCTGGCAGCCTCTCAGGCGTCATCTGCATTCCAGGCAGGGCTGTCCTGCGTCCCGACCTGCATCCTTCCAGCTCCCTCAGGAAGGGGCACAGGTTTGAGGCATCAGGCAGTCCTGGTTTGTATCTGGGATGCAAAAAGTGCCCGCCTCACGGAGGTGTTGAGAGGATCCACCAAGGTGATGCGGGCACAGCGCTGGCACTGAGTGTGGCCAGCACTGCTCAGGAGGGCGCAGCAATCATAACCCATGGTAAAGGGCCCGGGCTGCCAGCGCCTGTGCCAACAGGCCCCTCACTTAATCCCCATAGAGCACTGCCCCTCACCTGTGCAGTGTGAGGGATGCCCCAATCCAATCTGAAGCTTTGCCCCCCATCTCAGAGCAGCTGGGACCACGCCAGGGAGGCAGCACCCGGGAAAGGATACTGGGGGCAGGGAAGTCACCTTGTCACAGGGGATGTTCCCAGGAACAGGGAACAGATGGGCCCTAAATGACAGAGCTCAGGAGACAGAGTCCAACCCCACAGGAGGAAGGAATCTCTCCACTCAGAGCCAGACAGGAAGAGAAGGAGCGGCCCGTCCTGGGGTGCAGGCAATAGTGCCACAGGCCTGCCTGGGAGGGACAGCAGTATTTCTTACATCATCTAGCGGATCTTGGCATTTACCCTCCAAGGTGGATAGGACTATGATCCCTGTTTTACAGCTCAGGAAAGGCAGCCTCACAGTCCACAGCCCGAGGGAGGCTGGAATCCAAACCCAGGGCCTCACTCCAAGCTTCCCAGAATCACTGGGGGCCATATGAACAATACAGATTCCTGGGGCCCACTCCAGACCCAAAATTTTGAACCACTGGCCCCGAGCCTGACAATCTGTATTGCAGCCAGGTCCCTGGGGGACTCCTTTCACTTTTAGGTGTGGGAACCGCTGACCTCAGGTTGTCGCTGTCTTCCAGGGGTGAGCCTGGGAGGCCAGAATAGCCCAGGGCAGACAGGAGAGGCAAGGAGGGGTGGGGTGTGGAGGGCCGCAGGGTGGAGGAGGGGCTGTCTCTGGGCCAGGCTGGAGGGGCGGGGCCTGTTGCCAGGGCAACGAGGGGCCTGTGCTTATCTTTACAAATCCCTCCTGACCTCAGGCTGCCTAGGCCGACCTGGCAGGGAGGGATTAACGGACGCTCACCCCTCCCCTTCGACCTGGTGCCCTGTCCTGGGGAGGGCAGGAGGACACAGCTGTTTACTGAGTGTGTACTATGTGCTTGGGGCTGCGCGTCCTATTATTACATTGTTATACTCGATTGAGATCAGAAAAGGTGCCGACTGTTAAGAAAATTTCTGTTTTTGTAACTCAAAGAGGTTGATAATTTTGCCCAAGTTGAAACAAACAATCAGATCAGCTCCTGATGTCCACTTCCCAGAGGTACACTTCTCCACTTTGCAAACTCTAAATTGCCACCCACATATTGTCATTTTAGTACATTTCAGCTGCCTCACCCAGGAAAAAAATCTCTAAAGGTTTTCACAAGAATACAGTTTCCAATATCAGACTGGGCAGAGCAGGCTGTCTTCCCCGTCTGTCCAGAACCCAGCTGTTAGCAATCCACGAGTCTCGGGCCTCACGCAGGGATTACTAACTCCTACTTTTCATGCACTTATAATGGGCCTGGTTATAACAGCCAACAACTGAGGAGAAGTGTTTTACTAAAGCCAGGTGTGGTAGCTCACACCTGTAATCCCAGCACTTTGGGAAGCTGAAGTGGGAGGATCACTTCAGGCCAGGCGCTCGAGACCAACCTGGCAGACAGAGTGAGACTCCGTCTCTACAAAAAAACAAAAACCAAAACAAAAAACTAAGCCGAGCATGGGGTGGACCCTGTAGTCCCAGCTGCTTGGGAGGCTGAGGTGGGAGGAAGACTTGAGCCCAGGATGTTGAGGCTACAGTGAGCTATGATTTTGCAACTGCACCCCAGCCAGGGCAACTGAGTGTGACCCTTTCTCAAAAAAAAAAACGAAAAACAAACAAAAACCACAAACAACAACAACCAAAAAAACGTTTTACTGGGGAAGCTTCCTGTCCCAGCAAATCAAGAAAATATTTCTGAGAAGCGACCTAAGCTCTCATAAGGTGTGGGAGTGTCTAGCGTAGGGAAGAAATTCTTCATCTAAGATCCCTGGGCCCCAAAGCTCTACCCCCAACATGGGTAGGGCTGAATAACAGACACGATGGGGCTTTGCAAACACTCAGTCGTCAGGAAAGGGTAAAATACTCTTTCAGGCAGAAAAATTTGGAATGCTGTTTTTCAAAAATGTTTACCTTCTGAGGTTAAAAGGCATAATTTTGATAACAGCAATTGCAACAATAGCTGTCAGGGATGGAGCACCTCCCCTGTGCCTGGCGCTGACGATCCCTTGAGCTCAGGCTCAGAGCACAGTTCCAGGGAGTTACCTCCTGGAGTGAGGGGGAGGCGGGGGGTGGGGGTTCCCCACCTGCCACCCAAACGGGACACTTTTAACAATTTTAGCCGGGCGCGGTGGCTCACGCCTGTTATCCCAGCACTTTGGGAGGCCGAGGCGGGTGGATCACGAGGTCGAGAGATGGAGACCATCCTGGTCAACATGGTGAAACCCCGTCTCTACTAAAAACACAAAAAAGTAGCTGGGCATGGTGGCGCTTGCCTGTAATCCCAGCTAGTCAGGAGGCTGAGGCAGGAGAATTGCTTGAACCCAGGAGGTGGAGGTTGCGGTGAGCCGAGATCGCGCCATTGCACTCCAGCCTGGGTAACAAGAGCGAAACTCCATCTCAAAAAAAAAAAAAAAAAAAAAATTTTACTACTCACTATGAATGGGCTTCCATCTAAAATTTCCCTTGAAATTGGGGCTTCCATGCCAAAACCTGGTGTGGGACCACTCGCTGCATTCTCTTGGAATCCTTGTACCTGAGCTCAGAGTGAGTCAGTTTGTCCTCGTTTTTTTTTTGTTTTTTGAGACAGTCTCCCTCTATCGCCCAGGCTAGAGTGCAGTGGTGCAATCTCGGCTCACTGAAACCTCTGCCACCTGGGTTCAAGCAATTCTCCTGCCTCAGCCTCCCGAGTAGCTGGGATTACAGGCACACCTGCCACCATGCCTGGCTAATTTTTGTATTTTTAGTAGAGACGGGGTTTCACCATCTTGGCCAGACTAGTCTCCAACTCCTGACCTGGTGATCTACCCACCTTGGCCTCCCAAAGTGCTGGGAATACAGGCATGAGCCACCTTGCCCGGCCTCTGTCCTCGTTTTACAGAGACAGAGAAGAGACGTGATTTTCCCTAGGCTAGCAGCACAGTACACTGCAAAATCGCAGCACTGGCTCGGGGACTGACTGGCTCTGTCTCTGGGCCTCATTTACCTCCTGTGTAAACCGAGGGTATCAGAGCCGACTTCACAGGCTGCTGGGAGAATTCAGTTAGACCTTGTTAGTAGCACAGTGCCTGCCATGGAGTGGCCGATCATATCTACCAACAGTTCTTTACTTGAGGCAAACACCCACTGTCCGAAAGATCCTGACATTGGGTTGTCTCTGCCTGTCCCTGTCCCACAGGCCCCCACCCCTTTCTGGCTGGAGGACGGGGCGGACCTGGGGCCTGGACTCACTGCCTCTTTGTCTGCCAGGCTCCCTGGGTGTTCGGGGAGGGGAGGGTGGATATGAGAGCCCAACACGCCCCATTGTCCTTCAGCATGCTTGGTCCTCTCCATGGCAACCAGCCGCGCCTTTGTGGCAAGTTGGGCCTGGGATGGAGGGGCCCAGCTCAGGGCCTGGCAGGGGAGGGCATCAGAGCCAGGGGCCCAGGGCCTCCAGAAGCCCCCATCCCCCTGGGATGGAAATTGGTTTTCAAGTAACAAAATCTCTGGTCCCTCCCCTCCCGGCAGGCAGGCTAGGGCACTAGCATGCAGAAATGGTCATGTAGGCAGTGCTCCTGCCAGCGTTTAGGAATCCCCAGGGATGGGGCCCCCAGCACATAAGTGGCAGAGGAAAGGCTGTCCTGGATGCCCCAGCAGGGCTGATGGGATGAGCATACACGCCAGTGTCCAGACAGCTCCCCCACCCCCCCCGCCCACATCCACGCTGTGCCTCCCAGTCCCATGTGGCTGCACACTGAGTGTGAATGCAACATGTCCACACATGCGCGCAATGGGCGTGCACACCGGTGTGCACGAACATGCCTTGTGTGCGCGCGTGTGTGTAGGTACATGTGCTGGTAGATCCACATGTGTCTGTGGCACCTGTTCCTTTGTCATCATGTGCCCTTGGGCATGCCACACAGGTGTGTGGAGTGTGGGTGTGTGAGTATCACAGGGTGGGGGACACAGCCCGGGTCCATCTCACACGTTTTGCTTGCAGAGAAGGGAGAGGAGCAGCCACCACCCCCTCCGCCACTGCCCCCCCGCACAGAGCCCAAGTCACCTGTCGGCGGCGGAGCTCAGCTCATAACTCCCCATCCCTCTCTGAGCCTTGGTTTCCTTCACTAGAAAATGGGGTCCTCATCCTCCCCAGGGCCCCGTAGACAGGACAGGAAATGAAAGCTTTGCAAGCGCGGGAACCACAAGGGGCCTCAGGTGGGACTAGGAGAGGCTTGGTCCCCCCACACTCTGCAGCCTGAGGAGCTCTGGGGCAGGGAGGGCTCCCTCAGCCTCAGGGGAGCCCTGGCCCTCCTTGGCTCCCTCCCCAGCCTGTGGAGGTGGGGGCGGGGGACCTCCCAGGCCCGCCCCCGTAACTATAGTGACTAACACCAAGCGTTCCCTTAGACCCCCCAGGAGGAATTCCAGTCTCCGAGAGCTTGGACAAAAGTAAAAAGGGCTTGGTGAAAGGGGTCTGGCTTTAGGGAGCCCTTTCAGATTGGCTTTGGAATGCTGGGGAGGGGGCAGCAGGGGACACATGCTTGTTCCCAAAGCCCCAGCAGCCCACAAGGACCCAGAGCATCCCAGCGGCCCCCAGTGCAGCAAAGCCACCGCACCCAGCTCCCTGGGCCTCCCTCCCGCTTCTCCACCTCGTCACCTGAGCTGGGATCTGCTACCCCCACCCCACTCCCCTCATATTGAGAGCAAAGACCAGTTCAGCCACCCTGCACAACTTATACCCTACAGCATGCATGGGACACAGCTCATTACACCCAGCTCCCCAGACACAACTCCCAGCTCACCACAGACAGCTCATCCACCTCCCAACTTCAACACACCCACCACCTGTGCCCCGCAACCCAACACAGGACTCACAACAGGCTCTGGGGTGAGGCTTACGCCATCTACAAATCCCCAAACTCAGCCCCTAGAAACCCAGAAGTCCCCCAGCCCCAGCCCTTTACGGGATGCAACCCAGCACCTCCAAAACACACACCCCCATCCCTCACCAGCAACAGCTCCCGCAAATCACATCCAGCCCCGGTCCCCAACCCCCAAACCTTACAATCCCCCTCAACACAAAACAGCCCAGAACACGCTCACCTCCATAGGGCTCCACACGGTCTGGGGGCCACAGCCACGCACTCCTGTGCACCCCACAGCTCAGGCCTGCACCCACGCGGACCAGCGCACCCTCTGCTCCTGCAGCCAAGGCCTGGGGTGTCTGCCTTGGGGGACAGACCCTCCCCCAGCACCCCCAGATGTGGGCCCCAACTCACCAGCCAGGAGGGCAAGGGCAGGGACCCAGAGCAGCAGCAGCAGCAGGACAGGGGCCGGGGGCCGGGGGGCCAGGAGCTGGGGGGCCGGGGGCCCAGGCCTGGCCAGCGCCATGGCAGCCTGCTTCGCTCGGCCGCTGTGGGAACGGGCGGGCGGCCTGGCTGGCTCTGCACCCCCCTCGTCCCTCCAACCAGCACTAATGCCATGGACAGAGGCCCGGCCCCTCCCTCCCCTCCCCACTGCCGCCGACTCCTCCTCCTCCTCCTCCTCCTCCTCCCACCCAGGCCTCCTGGGCTGCTCCACCTCGTGGATGTCCCTAGACTTCAGCCCCAAGTCCACAAGCCCCTCAGCCTGTGAGGTCGACCTGGTCTGGGCACCCCCCAGCCTCTCCCTCCTGACCTCCAGCCCCACTCTCCTCCCACACTCAGCCCCCTTGGAGCCATTTCTGTTCTGACGGGCTGTTCAGGACTGTCTTCTCACCAGGTGACGCCAGCTACTCCCAAGTCCGTAGTCATCTCCTCCCCCCACTGCCCCCTCCCCACCTCTCCAGCCCAGCCTCTCTCCCTAGCAGGCCTTCAAGTCCAGTCACCTCCCAGACTCCAGCTCTGCTGGGAAGCTGCAGCCCCTCCCATCCAGCATGTTCACCCACCTGCTGCTCCCCAGGGATTCCCCCAGAACCAAGGCACCTCCCAGCCTGCAGCCCCACGCCTCCTCCCCACTCCCCGGCCTCCTGCTCCTGTCCGTGCCACTCTCTCAGTGTCTCCTGCAGTTCCCTCCCCTCCACCGCCCCACCCTGCCAAACACAGCTCCTCCCACCATCGGCCTCAGGATCAGACCTGGGCACCTCAGCCCTGCACCTCGTGGTCGCTGCCTCCCTCCAACCCTCTCCAGCCCTCAGCAGCCAAACGGAACATTTCCCAGCTTTCTTCCACTTGACCTCGATCTCTGGCTCTGCTGCTTGCAACTCCAGAAACTTCACTGCACTGAACAGCAGCTCTAACCAAGCAAGCATGGCTGTCCCCTGCCAGGAAGTCCTTCTTGTTGTCTAACTTTAGAGTCTCCTGCTGCACTCGATGTTTGCTTGCTCTCCAGCCGGCCTCTTGTTGGAGTGGACTGGAGGAGTTCTTCAGAGGGACCTGGTTCAGGAATCCAGGTCATCTCAGAGACACTACCACATAAAACAACATTCCTTTCTTCTACTGCCCTCAGCTCCGGTGGGGGGAGAACCCTCTTGCAGAAGGGACTTTCCTGAGATGAGCCAACAGCCCCTGCCAATGCATGTCTGATTGTCCCTCCCTATTCAGTCACTGTGGAAACAGCCCACCCAGGTCCTGGGCTCTGGGACGTGTCCCTGACATGGGAGGGCACAGCCTAGAAAGACAGCAGGAGCCATTGAGGAGATCTGGGGTGGGCAAGGTCTCCACAGTGCAGGGGAGGGAGCAGTGGACATCATGAGGGTCCTGGCCCATACCCTAGCCCGGGGCATGTGCTGCAGCCCTGAGTCCCCAGGGACCCCAGGAAGGAATGAAGAAGCCCTGGGGAGACCCCTCATCCACTGCCCCTGCCCCATCCCCGCCCTCAAGGCGTATTCCCTCGGGGACAGGGGTTGCCCCTTGGTTTCTGGGATCCTAACCTTGCCCAGTTCATCTTTAATCACCTGCCTCTCCTATACAACACGGCCCTCTCCCCAGGTGGAAGCCCCTCTCTACTCCACAGGAAAAGCAGAGGCCCCAGAGCTCAAAAAATCTGGGTTCAAGCCCAGCTCAGCCACTGATTAGTCAGTGACCTCAGCACATGACTTCCTTCTCTGGGCCTCAGTCTCCTCACCTGTAAAACAGAGAGGCTTCAGTGGGCTGACGTGGCAGTCCCAGCTCTCTTTATCCAGCTTCTCAGTGATCCCTGAGAGACCCAGGCAATCCCAGTGTGGGGCTGGGGGCAGCACTGCAAGTCAACCGAAGCCCTCTGGGTCTCTAGATGCACAGACACGTCACTGGGTCCAGGTCCACGCTCCTCAGCAGCCGGGCCCCCAGCAGTCCTGCAGCTGCATGCTCCACCTTGTGGCCAGATCTAGAAGTGTCCTGCGACTTCCGGGGGCATGGAAGGGGGGCCGTGGTGGGTGCCTGTAATCCCAGCTACTCAGGAGCCTGAGGCAGAACCCCTTGAACCCAGTAGGCAGAGGCTGCAGTGAACCGAGATCACACCACCGCACTCCAGCCTGGGTGACAGAGTGAGACGTTGTCTCAAAAAATAATAATAATTAATGCATAACCAAAGTAATTTAAAGTGATTTTTTTTTTTTTTTTTTTAAGATGGAGTCTCTCTCTGTCGCCAGGCTGGATTACAGTGCCGCAATCTCGGCTCACTGCAACCTCCATCTCCCGGATTCAAGCAATTCTCCTGCCTCAGCCTCCCGAGTAGCTGGGACTACAGCCGTGAACCGCCATGCTTGGCTAATTTTTGTATTTTTAGTAGAGATGAGGTTTCACCATGTTGGGCAGAATGGTCTTGATCTCCTGACTTCGTGATATGCCTGTCTCCGCCTTCCAAAGTGCTGGGACTACAGGTGTGAGCCACCACTCATTATCTCAAATTGTAAATACTCCTGTTGACAACACTATGCTAGCAGACACAATAAAACAACGAGAAGTGTGCACCTCTCAAGTCCCATGAGAAGATTTGCCATGAAGTTCGTAGTTTTTCAAAATGGTGGCCAATCTGAGTCAGGCTCCAAACAAGATAAGGTGCCATCTTCCTACGATGTGCATGGAAGGTGTAGTTCTGGCAAATCCGGTCTTTATAAAAAAAAAAAAAAAAAACATGCAAAGACGCTCTTTATTTCTATGCAAACCAGACATGTGCTCTGATCTTGGACAATTTCAAACAGGTGTTTTCCCTCTGCACATGTGCCTGGCAGGAAATGCAAAAGTCAAGTGGCACATGAGCCAACCCTTCACTATGTGGAGTGTCCCCAACATCACGGGACATCTGGCATCCCAGGCCCCACCCACTCACTGCTATTAGTGCCACCCCCCATCATCATAATCACTGAAAGCACCTCCACAAATGCCCAGAACAATGCCCAGGAGACCCTGGGCTCTACACCAACTGCCAGAAGGATTTCTTTCAAACCTCGAATGGTGTCTCTTAGCTGTTGACGCCCAGTTGCACAAAGGCCAAGTCTCAATTCCTGAGGCTCATGTCCAGAGCCCTTCATAACTCAACCCTCGGCACAAACACAGATCAATATCCTCAGTCCCCAGCTCCTCTGCCTGCCTCTCTCTACCGCTCAGCGTCTCTCCTTCTTCCCCTACTAAACACACTGACAGACAGACAGACAGACAGACAGACAGACACACACACACACACACACACACACACACACACACAGCCAGTGGCTGGGTTTTGCGGACAAGTCTTTGATCCCAGGGTCTGCTTCCGGGAATGACTGCCCCACCCCCACCTGATTGAATGCTTCTTGACACCACACTGATCCTTTAAGACTCCAGCCATGGCATCACTTCCTCAGAGAGACTTCTCTGCTCCTCACCCCACCCCCAGGCTTAGGCTCTCACAGACCCTTGGGCTTCCCTTCATGCCCCCAGCACTGATCCTGCCCTATTCTAGTCACCAGTGTAGACATCTGTACCCATTGCAAGGCAGGCATATGGGAGGTGATTAGCACACAGATGAGAATCACTCAGCCCTTACCCTTGGGGAGCTCATGTCTAGAGGAATAGACAGACTTGAGGACAAGGCAGGGAGGGGCTGGCTCAGAGCCCAGTGGGAGCCCCAAAAGAAGGCCAGCTGCAAAAAGGCAATTGCCCAGGGCAGGTAGCACTGTGGAGTAAGAATAGGAGTTTCCTGCCATGCGCAGCGGCTCAGGCCTGTAATCCCACACTTTGGGAGGCCAAGGTGGGTGGATCACAAGGTCAGGAGATCGAGACCATCCTGACTAACACAGTGAAACCCCCTCTCTACTAAAAATACCAAAAAAATAGCCTAGCCTGGCGTGGTGGCAGGCACCTGTAGTCCCAGCTACTCGTGGAGGCTGAGGCAGGAAAATCGCTTGAACCCAGGAGGAAGAGGTTGCAGTGAGCTGGGATCATGCCACTGCCCTCCAGCCTGGATGACAGCAAGACTGTCTCAAAAAAAAAAAAAAAAAAAAAAAAAAAAAAAAAAAAAGTTTCCCAGTAGAGAAGAGGCAGAAAGCATACCTGGCTAAAAACCAAGCACGGGCCAAAGTCAGGTGTGAGAAAGCCCACTGTACCTTCAGGAAATGCAGCCAGGTCATCATTACCCAGGGTCAGGATGCTGGTGGGTCAGCAGAGGACAGATGACCCAGCCTTTGTAAGGTGCTGAGGATTCGGACTGTGTCCTCAGGGCACTGGGGAACCATAGAAGAGGTGAAAGCAGAGGAATGACAGGGCCAGGTTTGAATGTGGCCAAGTTCCCTCTGTGAAGAGTGTGAGAGCTGCGCTGCAGAAGTGCACGCGTGGAAATCATCCAGGTAAAGGCCAGGAAGCCTACATCAGGACAGGGTTGGCTGGAGTGATGAAGAACAGGAGTGGGCATTTGAGCATTAGGAACAGTAGAATTTGGTTGAAAAAAACGGGAAACAGCCATAGTGTGCCCCCAGGATCTCAGCTTGGGGAACCCCCAGGAGTGAGGGTAGAGTGGGAGTGGCAAGACGGCTTGGGGAGGGCGGCCAGGACAAACCCAGTCTTCCCTGGCTGAAGACCAGGCTGCAGGGTCCTCTACAGACACTAGAGGGAGCTCCAGGATAAGCGCAGGCTCCCCTTTCCAACCAGCTGTTTCCACCCGCTCCGGAAGGGGACAGAACCCAGCGCACCTTTCAGATGTAGGTCCTGGGGCTCCTCTTGGAGCCTGGCCCAAATTCAGTGTCTTCACTGTCTCTGGGCCACCTCATCCTTCAGCCATCGAATTGGCAGTGGAGAGGAGCCCTTTGGAGGTGGGAGCAGGTGGAGGCAGAAGTTAGGGCTGCAGACAAGAAGTACAGACAGCCTGTGCCCTTCTAACCCTGCCCCTGCCCCCGGCCCCTACAGAGAAGGGGAGCGACGCACCCAAGGTCGCAGGGACCAGAGCACCCCAGGTGGGACAGAATGGACTTTGAGCTGAAAGAGCACCAGCAGCGCTTCCAAACCCCTTCCTGAGCCTCCCTACAAAAACCGAGGTAA